AGGGAGAGAGAGAGAGAGAGAGAGAGAGAGAGAGAGAGAGAGAGAGAGAGAGAGAGAGAGAGAGAGAGAGATTGGTTGCTCCCTGTAGGCACCTGTTCCAAGGATTGAATCTTTTGCTGCACAAGATGATGCTCAACTAACCCAGACTCTTCCGCACCCGGGCCTGGTGGCCACACGGAGAGATAAGGGTTTGCCTGGTGTGGGGTGTGGCTCCCCAGGGGGTTCTCCTGTATGACTGACACTGCTGGTCAGAGCTCTCTGGTTGCCCAGTGTGGTAACTGTGCTGGCTGCTCTGTGGCGACTCGATGTCTGCAAAGTCTTTTTGAAAAAAGGGGGGCCATTTCAGTGTCTGGGACACCCCCCTGGAGGTCCAGCCCACATGAGATGGACCCTGCTGTGTGTCCTGGAAGTCTGCTCATCACCACCCTGGTACCCACACCCGGAGATTGTCCTGTGGGGAGAGTTAGGACTCAGGAGGAGGGTGAGTGGGTCTCTTGTGTCAAACAATTCAGCCACTCCTCCCTCTTCAGGTATGGCCCCCGACCGCAGGCATTCACACAGCTGGGCCACTTGTTGGCAATGAAACCTACTGAAGCAGCCCTGTTGGGTTTCTCAGTGGTTAGACCCTCAAACCGAAGCGTCCCTGGTTTTGGTCCCAGTCAAGGGCACATACCTTGGTTGCAGGTATAATCCCTGCCCCGGTTGGGGCACATGGGGGAGGCAACCAATCCATGTGATTCTCTTATGTCGATGATTCTCTCCCTCCCTCTCTCCTTTCCTCTCTGAAATCAATAAAAATATATTTACAAAAAATCAATGGAAAATATATCCTCTGGTGGGGATTTGAAAAAAAATTAAAAATAAAACCTACAGAAGCAGCAACTCAGGGCCTGGGCCCAGCACGCTGGTGCCCTGAGCCCCCCGGTGGTGGTAAAACTGTGATTCTTCAACCACAGCCGGTCCTTCCTGGTTCTCACACCCGGATCACCTGGGGCTTCATTTGGTTTATTTTGAAATGATTACAGCGTCACAGGAAGTGGCAACACTAGCCCAGGGAGGTCTCGTGTATTAAAAAAATAAATTAATGCCTGCAAGCCGCTCGAGGTGGGTGTATTTAAGCATCAGGAAGAGGACAGGATGGTGGGCCTACTCCCCTGTTTCCTCCGTTCCGGCTCTTTTCAGAGTCAACAGTGACTCTGGTC